GCCAGCCAATTTGAGTTTTGGTTAAATTCTGTTTGTTGGTTTCTGTATGAGAATTTGGGATTTTCTTGTTATGGTTTTTTTGTATCTGAGTTGTTGCCAAAGCAAGCAATATAAATTGTTAATCCCTTGCATAAGTATTTTTGCTGTGTTTTCTGCATGTTTCAAGATTTATAGCTTTGTGATTAGTGTATATTTGTATTTGMTGGTTCTGGCTTATAACATGACACTATATTACCACCAGGTTGGAGCGCCTGCTCGTGTTGGATTAGTGGCTCCTGTGGATGTGGTTGTTCCCCCTGGCAACACTGGTCTAGATCCCTCTCAGACTTCTTTCTTCCAGGTTAATATTTTTAATTTCTATGCTCCATGCGTTCTACAAATGCTCTTGAAGTCTTTCCAAATATCGAATTACTACTGTTCAGGTCCTTAACATTCCCACCAAGATCAACAAGGGTACTGTTGAAATCATCACCCCTGTGGAGCTCATCAAGAAGGGTGACAAAGTGGGTTCTTCTGAGGCTGCTCTTCTAGCCAAGCTTGGGATTAGGCCGTTCTCATACGGTCTTGTGGTTCTTACTGTGTATGACAATGGTTCAGTCTTCAGCCCAGAGGTGCTTGACCTGACTGAAGATGACCTGATTGAGAAGTTTGCGCTTGGAGTCTCCATGGTGACATCTCTAGCWTTGGCCATCCATTATCCAACCATTGCAGCTGCTCCACACATGTTGATCAATGCTTACAAGAATGCATTGGCCATTGCTGTGGAGACTGATTACTCTTTCCCTTTGGCAGACAAGGTGAAGGAGTACCTTGAGGTACGTTGGTGTTGATTTTAAAATCATTATGAAAAGGGTATAGAGAGTAAATGTGTTGATGTTAAACAATATTGCAGGATCCAAGCAAGTTTGCTGTGGCTGCTCCAGTAGCTGCATCTAGTGGTGGTGGTGCTCCGGCAGCAGCTGCTTCTGCTCCAGCTGAAGAGAAGAAGGAAGAGCCTGCTGAGGAATCGGATGATGACATGGGTTTCAGTTTGTTCGATTAGTGAGTGATCTATCTTCTCCTTATAATATAGAATAGCCAAGTCGAGNCTCCAGCTGAAGAGAAGAAGGAAGAGCCTGCTGAGGAATCGGATGATGACATGGGTTTCAGTTTGTTCGATTAGTGAGTGATCCATCTTCTCCTTATAATATAGAATAGCCAAGTCGAGTGTTTATTACGTTTTTGTTGRAATGATGTGTTGTCGGATATCATTGAAGAGTATTGAATTTTGGATGATTCTACGTGATCTATTTTGTTATGGGATATTATTATTGGTTRATAATTATATATAAAAGTAGAATATATATTTTGAAACAATTATGTATTAAAACAGCAGTGGGATCATCCACCCAAGACTGCTTCGTGCTTGTAACTTCGGCAACATGGAGAAGGTCTCTTCTTTTTGGTTTTTTGCATGTCGACAAAAAGGGCTTTCAGAAAAGAAATCAGTATTACAACACTAGACTCTGATTGAACACAAAATAAGTAGCCAAAAATATGACAAAATAAGTAGCCAAAAATATGACTGGTGAACACTTGAAAACTAAGACACATCACAAGTCCTTGAAATGATGATTTCTCTAATTTGCCATATCCTATRCCTTTCATTCAACAGTAGAAATAGCAGAAATGGAGGCCAGGTTTTCAATAGTAGAGAGATCCTGCAGAAACAAAGAAACCGGACAGTTGGTTACCCTTTATGATTTATGTCTTAGAAACTTTGAGATCAAAAGAAGTCTGTTTATAAAACGTTTCTGATTTTAGATTCGGGTTATTGMTTCTAACGAAAGCTATGGACAAGTAGTACCTTGCCACCAATTTCCCCTTGAAGCACTGCTTCCATTAGGATCTTCACCGCCTCCACTTTTCTTAAACTAATCAACCAAAAAGAGATCAATAAACATTGTTAGTTCCAATCTGTTTGTTGTTCTTTCTGTTAACGGAGATGTGGGAGATACGGTGCGCTGAGAGCAAGTGTTGTGGCTAGTTGGAGGATAAACTTCTTGGCCACCATAGTAGATGGATGAACTAAGATAGCTTGGTTCTGCTGTTTCAGTTTGGTATATTGGATTCCTCTCCTTTTCACCCTTGCTTCTTTGTGTTTTCAAATCTGAAGAGTGGAGGGAGGTTTATAAAAGGGATTCACTTATTTCATACGTGAATTTAAGCTAATTATACTGAGAAACTATACCAACCTGTTGTTGAATGTTATACGAATAATTGGTTGAGTATTGGATCAAAAGATTGGACGAATCTGATCTGATCCGATCCAATGAATAACCAATAGTAACATCTAATGGATGGAACTGATCTAATCCAATCCAATCATCATCCATTGGATTTTGATCGAATGTCGAATCCTAATAGGATCAGATTGGATGAAATCGTTTAGGGATGAACGGGTTTAAGAGTTTTTAAGAATTTTAGCCAAATGTTTTATAATATAGTATAGATATAGATTAAATTGTTTCAATAATTGAAAAGAAATCAAAAAGTAGCAGCTGTCTCATCACATTTTAAATTGAAATTTCATTTAATCAAATATTCAATTCGAGTATTTGCAATTTTTAACAAGTATTATCCCTAAATTTCAAAAAATTAGATTTGATCTTTAATGTTTGTCAATTTCTAAAGTTGGGATCCTTATGTATAAAGGTCATTAATTTTCTCTGTTAAATTTAAAGGTTGTTTGTTTACCTCTTAATAGTTCCATTACAAGGTAACATTTGAATCGTTAAGAGATGAATCTTGTTTGACAAAAGAAAAATCCTCCTCTTAATGATTCTAAAATTATCTGAATGATTTTGCATCATGGGCCTCCTTTAACCATTCAGCGCTCTAATTTCATTGTAAATAATTATCAAACAATTATATTTCATTTTGCACTATATCATGAGAATCTCTTAATCATTCTGACCACTTAATCATTTTGTACTAAATCATTCAGCAACTACCAAACAACCCTTAGTTAAATGAAGGACATTTTAGTCATTTTCACTATTTTTTTTATATTATATTAAAATTAAAAACATATTATATTTTTAATTTTAAATCGTAAAAAAAACGAAAGGATTATCATTATCTTTCATTTTTCTTTTCTTTTGTAATTTAAAATTAAAATTAAAAATAAAATATGTCTTTTAATTTAATATAATGAAAATAGCAAAAATAATTAAAATATTCCTCATTTAATTGTACTTGACAGTGAAAGTTAATTACCGTTAGACAGAGAAATCAAAATGTTGAAATCCAAAATATTCCTTATTTATAGACGACATTGCTGAAACTTACAAACATTAGGGACCAAAATTGAATTTAAATCCCAAAAAGGAAGAAACAGTTTCACATCGACCACAATACTTTTGATAAATCACAAATGTGCCCTGAAATTGTAAAAGTTTAAAATTTGACCACCCACAAGCTTTAACGTGAAAATGAATTCCAGTTTCCAAACATCCACCTCTAACGGTAAACTCACCACACTTTCACCTCTTTTTATATTCATATTTGTATATCTGTACCTAGGTACTCACAATGCTCTCTCTTTCATCCGATCATTCAGAGGGGTGATCGTTGGTCGATTCTCGTGAAGTCTTGAAGCCATTGAATCCCCCCAATTTCTGAACCTGAATTTCGAGGTTAGATACGAACTGCTTCTGTTTCTCAGTCAGAAATACCCACTAAATTTTCTTGATTTGATGTGGGTTTTCTTCGATATTTATTGAAATTCAAGTTTGGGAACTTGATGATTTTGAAGCTTGGTGGGTTATCACAAGTGGCTGTTTTTGCAATTGGATCCTGTGTTGGATGATTGAATTAGGGTTTCGATTTTTTGTTTGTCTTGATTGATAAAGGGGTAACTTTTTTGGTCTTGATTCTTTCAAAAGATGTTGGTACATATCTATCTCTGCATCTAACCAGGACCACACTACTCTCTATATATGTCTCATCTTTAATTCATCTTTATCGATCTTTTATAATGGGGATCCTCCATGGATTTATCAATTTGGGAAATCCTTTGAAACCCTTGTATTTGGATGATAAATATACAACTGGTTCTGTTTCTTGGTGAACACCCACCAAAGGCACTTAGTTTGAGGTGATCTTGATGGGTTTGATCTTTTTTTTTTTTTCCTAAAATTAATTCAATTCAAGTAAATTACTTGATGATCTTGTAATCTGATGTGTTTATTCAAGTTTCCTTTATGATCTTTAAAGAAACTGTTGTTTCATCGGTAAAATCATAATTTGCTCTCATGAAATGCAATTGGATTCTTAGGGTTTAGGGGCTCTTTGGTTGGTTTTCCATTAATCTGTCTATATAGATCGGGAAGATTTTTGTTTGGGAGGGTTGATTCATAGATACAAGGAGCATGCTTCTTAATTGGGAGGGACAGGTTTTGAAAAAACTTGGCTTTCTTCGTGAAGTTCCTCCTAGAAGCTTTATGAATAAGCCACTTTCAAAACCATTTGGATTCTTAGGGTTTACGGGCTCTTTGGTTGGTTTTCCATTAATCTGTCTATATAGGTCGAGAAGATTTTTGTTTGGGAGGACAGGTTTTGAAAAAACTTGGCTTTTTGCATTAAGTTCCCCCTAGAAGCTTTATGAATAAGCCACTTTCTATCATTAAGCCACTACCAAACAGTAGCTGTGAGTCTCATTAAGTTGCTAACAAACAATCTCTAACTTTCCCTGATGGACGAATTTCGGATTTCAACAATTGTTATTTACTTCCCTTTAAAGTGTGTATACATGGAAATATAGCTTCTTGTGTAAACATGAATGTTTGTTTCGTACACGGATGCATGCAACTTGTGTGCACATTAGGAAGAAGATTAGAGATGCCATCTAAAGATCGAATGCCTCCTTTCACAACAGTTTAGCTTAATCCATACAGACAACTTAATTCATCCATGGCTTAATGGAAAAACAATCAAACAGACTGTTAATCTGATCATGGTAGGAATAGAACTCACACTACAATCCACTTTGCTTAGAGTATTCGTGTTCTTCTGGAAGACCCAAGAATGATACCTGAGATGTTGAAACTTTTGGCTCTCATCCATTAACACACCCTTTATTGTCGCATTGCAAAATCCTTAGAAATTCGTGTTCTTTTAGAAGTTTATATCATCCATTAAATGATATCCAACGGACCATATGCTTCCGCATGTGCTTGATGTTTGTCTTTTCAGAGGAACTATTATTTCGTAGTATAAAGTAAACATTTCTAACGACTTTGAAATGAATCGTACTACAGGTTACTCTTGATCACATTGGCGATCCATCCTGTTTCTCAAGTGATTGTCACCAGCTCTTTGCATAGCGGGATTGCAATCTGGTTTTAGATCATTTGCGTGGTTGATGGTACGTCTCCCCGGGAGTTAGGTTCACAAAATCTCACATAAACGGAAATAATTGCAGGAAAGGATACATGAAATCCACTTGTTAGGAAGTGGTGGCACATGCTACCACTAATAAATAAAAAGTTTACGACCCATAATGGTAGAGGTCAGGGTTTCGTATATCTCACCCTCTGGACCCTACTTTCTAGTGGGATTTACTGGGTCGGTTTATTTTGGTTTTTGTTGTTCGTATTGCTTATTTCTATGTAATCTTGAAAGGTTAGACATTTCGTTACTACGTTTTCTTGCAGGCGACCAATGAGAATCTTCCTCCAAATGTAATAAAGCAGCTCACTAGGGAATTGAAGAGTCTTGATGAAACACCACCAGAAGGAATAAAAGTAGGAGTAAATGATGATGACTTTTCGACAATATATGCAGATATTGAAGGCCCGGGTACGCTTTTTTTTGTATTTCTGAGGGGACGTTTTGTTCGTTATATCGACTGAATGGCCGTGGTTTGCAGCTGGAACTCCATATGAGAATGGTGTCTTTCGCATGAAGTTGATTCTGTCTCGTGACTTCCCACACTCACCACCTAAAGGTTTGGTCACTGTCTTTTTACGCAATCGACTTGTAATCATCAAATCCTACTCGTGACATGTTCAACTCATATGCAGTTTATGAAGATTTTGCAACGTTTTGGAATATGCACATGGTGAATAGGATATAGAAATGCTATCACTACAACAAAATCGGCTTTATAGGACGTTTACTATATATTTAAGTTCCATAAAACAATCTATTAGGACATTTAGTCATATTTGGCGTCCTGTAAAGCCGATTTTGCTGTAGTGTATCAAATAACCAAGTCAAATGTGTTAAAGCAAGACTTTTTGGTACCAGGATTCTCTCACATTTTGAAACTGTTTTGTGTGAATACTTCAGGTTATTTTCTGACCAAGATCTTCCATCCAAACATCGCAACAAATGGTGAAATATGTGTCAACACGTTGAAAAGAGATTGGACCCCAAGTCTTGGCTTACGGCATGTTCTAATTGTAAGTTTTGTATTTTGTTCCGGTTTCCTAAGGGAGCTGTTTATCACCAAGTTTCTGTGATGACCGTTTGTCGTGTTGCAGGTGGTCAGATGTTTACTGATTGAGCCATTTCCAGAATCTGCGTTAAACGAGCAGGCTGGCAAAATGTTGCTTGAAAATTATGAGGAGTATGCTAGACATGCCAGGTCAGCAGCTATAGCCATGCTGGCATTAGCGTTACTTACTGCATTGGTTTTAATAATTATTGTAGTAAAAAGCTCTTCCGCCCTTTTCACATTTCGACGACATGGATTCAAGAAATCTGGAAACCTTGAAGAATGGCTTCAAGAAGTCTTGAAATCTCGAATGGTGGCTTCAAAAAATCTGGAAACCTTGAACAATGGCTTTCAAGAGGTCTTGAAATCTTATGAAACCTCGGCAAATTTGCTTCAAGAAGTCTTGAATAATGGCTTCAAGAAGTCTTGAAATCTCGAATGGCTTCAAGAAGTCTAGGAATCTCGAATACTGGTTTCAAGAAATCTTGAAACCTCAAATAGTTGCTTCACCAAGTCTTTTTTTTTAAATGAAGGGGATGAAACCTTGGAAATTTTGCTTCAAGAAGTCTTGAAATCTCGAATCATGGCTTCAAGAAATCTTGAAATATCGAATTATGGCTTCAAGAAGTCTTGAAATATTAACCACAAGGGTTGTGGCGTAGTGGTTGAGGCCTAGGGGAATGTGGTGGAATATCCCATCTGCCCCGGGTTCAATTCTAGGCGTCCACAACAATTGTGGCCACTGAGTTTATCAAAGTTGGAGTCTTACCTTCGCAATTTGCCGGGATTAGTCTGGGCATAGCCCGAGAACACCCTTCCAAAAAGAAGTCTTGAAATCTTGAATAATGGGCATGAAGAAATCTTGAAATGTTGAATAATTGGTATGAAGATTACTCAAACGATGGCATTTTGCCTACTATTTGCAGGCTATACACTGGAATTCATGCTTTGAAGCCAAAACCAAAGTTCAAGGCCGGAGCCATCTCCGAGTCAACGGCTGCTTTAAACCTTGACCAGACCTCATCGGTTTGTAGTATTGACCCCAAAAACGCAGTATCGGGTGTCGTGGGGCCTACCCCTTTAGCCCCTTCATTGAACACAATGAAAGGAGGGAGTGGACAGGATCATCCAACAACTGGTGCCAATCTGAGCCCAACGGTTGAGATTGGAGTCAGTAGTGGATCTGGTGCTGCACTGGCTCCCATGGTTACGCAAAAGAAGGAATGCGGGTTGGTCAAGGCCCAAGCCGACAAAAAGAAGATCGATGCAAGAAAGAAAAGCCTAAAAAGATTGTAGTATCATTTGTGTTTGTTGTTTTGTTTATATGAACAAATGTAGGTTGATTTTGCAACCTTTTCAAACAGGCTTAGCATGTTATGATTGTTGTGAATCCATTGATGCACATAGAGATAGGAAGACGAAGCTCGGTGTCATAACTCATATTCTCACACGATCTCTCTTCTTGAGTTGGTTGGGTTCCAATGAGAATAACAATTATGATATCAGTTGGGTTCCAATGAGAATAACAGTTATGATAACAAGGTAAGAACAACGCAATCATATCAATCATATCATTTCATTCATGCGTGGAAGTGATTAAATGTATGTAAAAGTGATCTAAAAGTGAAGATCATTTTAAACAATGGTAGATGAATGTAGTTTAAGGGTATTGAAAATAGTTAAAAAAATTAAAAGATCGACTCATCCAAACACTTACCCGGTAAGCGCTTACCAATAAAATTTAACATTATCACTTACTTACAGGGTAAGACTTTAAGTCCACCAAAACGGCATCATATGCAACAATTTATCCGGTAAGCGCGGTATGAGTCGTCTTCTTCTCTTACGAGGTAAGATTCTTGGTTCTTACAATATTCATCTGGTATAATTTGGAAACAAAGTAAATTTCGTTTTTTGTCACCGCTATGATTTAGAAATTACAGTTTTTATCCCTATGTTTTGTAATTTATCATTATTTTTCTCTTTATGATTTACAATTTATTGTTGTTTCACTCTCTCCAAGATTCTTATTGACGGATTAGACGACATTTTTCACAAATTTTACGAACATAATAATAATAATAAACAATTGGAATAAATAATAAATTACTCCAAAAAATTCCATTTATTCCATCCCCAAGATGACAAAAGAAGGCTGTTGCTCCTACCATTTATATAATAACATCATCAACAGAAACAAGCAAAAGGCCTCCCATCCCATCTTATAACTATTTACAGTCCCCCCTTCTTCTTCTATTTATATCTTTCTTCTTCTTCTTCTTCAATGGCCAAATGACCTCTAATTTAACTTCACAATGGAACCAGTCTCCGATTTCAACCGACTCTCGGTATCCATTAGACCTTGTCCAACATATGCTTTCATTCTCCTCTTCAATTCCTTCCTGCAAAACCCATCATCACATGTGAATAAACAACAATCAACAATTGATGTACAACGAACTGCAAGATTCAAGATCAAGAATTGAGGAACAATTGGTTATGCAAGACTTACATCATGAGCTGTCGGTCAAGATTCGAAGAAGACAACAACCCTTTATTCTCTTCTGCTCGCCGAAGAAGATAAGGCATGATCTGATCCACAGGTCCAAATGGCAAATACTTGCTAACACCAAATCCTGCATTCCTCAATCCAAATGTCATGGCCTCAGACATCCCATAAAGAGAAGCAAACTCCAGCTTCTGTGTATCTTTCCCAATCCCCAATTCGCGCGCCTTCTGTGCAGCAAATTTTGCTGTAATCATTCAAGAAAACAAAGTTAGTTTGAAGCCATATGAGATCAGAGATCTTGAATGTCGTCTCAAGAAATACCTCTGCTTTCGAATTATTTGTTTTCAACCATCGATATTCAAGAAACCAATACAACCCCTGATTCAGAATACATTTATCAAATTTGGTGCACTTTATCTTCTCATCATTTCAACAACAAAAATGCAATCTTTTGTAGTTTAGATCTGATTAAAGAGACAGTGGGTGCAAATCTTGGTAACCAATTCTCATAAAGTTTCAAGCTTTTTACCTGAATCAAGATTATGGGTGGCAAGAATGAGCCCACCAGGACCATTTGAGACCTCATCTAGCATAAATGAAGCACACCCGTTGTAACACTTGTGTGTCTCATCAATGCTATTGTGGATCGGTGACTCGACCCCAATCGAATTCGCCAATTGGCTTTCGCTCCACAAATAAGCACCTCGAACCAACTTAAACCCAACTGGCAATCCCATTTTATCGGCTGCTCTTTTCGTTTCGAACAACCTCTCACCAGCATCCTTCAAATACGCTTGAATCGTACCGAAAATCAAGGGCTTTTCGCCTTTATTGTACATAACAGCAGCCGAATACGTAAAGTAATCAATACCCGGTTGGATTGAAGTGTCTTCGGCATCAATAACTACAGGTACATTGCATTCTATGCTTTTGTTACAAATATTGACTAGTCTTTGGTGGGCTAATTCAAGATCACTTTCTTCTTCAGGAGTCAAAGGAGCTGGCTTTTCTAATGTGTGGTAAAAAGGGCTGGACTCTGAAAAGATTGGGAGGGTTTTAAGCTTCCATGGCAGATTCATAGATGATGAATTCTTGTATTCCCATCTTAAAAGATCACTAACTCTCTTCAATAAAGAAACTGGACAAATTGCTGTTATCTTCACAACCACAAAGCTAACCTGTTTCCAAAACAAGATTACATTAATTCAATAAAGATTCAAGATTCAAGAACAAAAGTCTGAAATGAGGAAGAAACAGATCTGGAATTTCAAAAAGGTTTCTGAAAACATGGAAATCAAAAGAAAAGATCGAATGTTACCCACAAATCCAAGATTTTTTAAAGGAAAATGACGAAAATTTGCAGAGTATGAGCAGAAACAGAGCAAGAATGGAGGTACGAATCCGTATGTGGGTATAAAAAAAAGGGAATCTGATTTAGGGGAAAACATGGAGAAATATTTTACTATAAAAAGATGAAACTGAATCAAGAAAATGTAAAAGGTAAAAAACTTACAGAAGAAGGAGGCAAAACTTGGGTGGATTCAACAGTTTCAATGAATTCTTGAGCATTTTTATCACAAGATTCATTATCAACCGCATGCTCCAACCCATAATCCAACATCCCTCTCAACCCGGATTCCCAAAGTCTCTTAACAGTCCGACCCGTTTCAACCATATCCGCACCCGCTACAAAATGTTCATACGACGTGTGTTTAATCGTACCCAAAACAATCTCTCTAAAAATCCCCACTTGCATGAGCCTTGACCTCATCACCCACATGCCCAAATCCACCACCGGCTCCACCGCCGCCAGGTTCAAGTTAGCCGCCGACCGTAAAAGTTTTCCGGTCGTAACAGATGAAAACAAACCTTTCGTATCCTCGAAATCAAATATCGAGTCACGTGGGTCGTCGGCAACGGCGGTTGTCGGTGGCGGAGGTGGTGGTGAAGATGGGAATACTGTTGTTGTATTGATGGTGGTTCTTTGAGCCAATCGGAACCTTGGTGTGGTGGTGGTATTGGATGGTGATGATGACTTTACGCGGCGGAGAAACGATCGGATAACCTTAGAAGAGAGACCATTGGTGGTCATAGCCATCAATGGGAGAACGATGGTGGTGATTAACGACGGAAGTGGTGGTGATTAACGACGGAAGGTGGTGGTGGTGGTGGTGGTTAACCGTTGATGATGGCTGAAAATTCAGAACGAAAAAGCAGGTTTTTTTTGTGAGGATGAAGTTTAAACAAACAAGGGGTATATATAGGAAAAATGATGGGTCCGAATGTAACCCGATAACCCGAGTGGTGGAAACGGGTTTTGTGTAGAAATGGAGCTATCCATTTTTGATGGAGTAAAATGTGGAAAAGTAAAAAAAACGAATTTTGCGGTGGTGTGGTGGGGTCCACGGGATTTGGTGTGGACCAAGGGTAGAATTGTCATAAAAAGGTAATGCTAAAGTCACGGGGTGATTCCGGGATCAACTTGAGATTCTGTTTGCGTGAAAGTTCAAAGATTCCGTGCTTTGAGACTTCATGGAATCTTTAAGATTTTGTCCTTTTTTAATATACTTAAAATTAATAATTATTTTTTTAATTTATAATAATTAATATTATTGTAAAAAACCCAAAAGGATAAAAAAAAATCAATTTTACTATTTTTGATTTAAAAATTAAAGAAAAAAATCAACTTTTAATTTTGAATTTTAAATAATATGTATTATTAAACAGTATTTTATGCATAAAAATGGTTTTTAAGAGTTTTTGTCAAATGCTTTATAATATAATATAGATATAGATATAAGAAATATAATGTTTCAAGTAAATATTTTGATTTATTAAGGTGTTAAAGACGTTGGAATATTCATTTTAAATAATGAATATGTAATTAATATCTAATTAAATAAATGAAATGCGTTATAAACTTTAAACGAGGATTAATGCTATTTAATAATATCGTAAATTTTTAATTAATTTTATATAAAATTAAATTAAAATAGAATTATTTTTATACAAAGAAATAAATATTTTTGGAATCTGTTGATAGTGCAAGTAGTCATGCAGTGTGTGGGTCCAGATCCTTCACGCTTGGTCCCACCAGTCCTTTTTTGTCATTTTCTACAAGTTGTCCTCTACCTTTTTTATTTTATTACTAGTTGTGTACCCGTGCAATGTGACGGGAGCCATGAATTTTAACGGTTTTGAAGTTTCACTGGTTTTATAAGACAAGATTTAAAGATGATATATGTTACACTTGATCTTTACATATTAATACAATTTGAATAAATAAGAGTTATAGTTCTGATTACAGACTATCGATGGAAAAAATTGTATGACAGTTTAAAATCCAATATATTTAAAATTCAACATATTTAAACGACTCCACAAATGTGTTCAATTTACACCAAGAGCAAAGAACCAAAAAAACTTGAGTTTTAAGATAAACACTCAAAAACAATAAAGAAAACTACAAATTTGACAGATCATAAGCTATGAAAAGACCAAAAAAGATGGGTTTTAGAATGAAATTTCAATTGTTTACCCTCTTTCTTGTCCAGAAGCTCAGATTAAGGTTGAATTAATACATGTATATATATATTTCAAAAAAACCCAAGAACATATTATACAGTGCAATTTGGACAGCCTAATCCCAAAATGTATAGCATATATATAAATAAATAACTATAAAAGTATAAATCGTAAACATTAAAAATATTTTTTCACAGTATATATATATATATAATATATAATAATATAATTAAGTCAAAAACTATTCAATATTGGACTCATTTCGAAGGTATTAACGAGAAGATTATAATAGTGTAACTTGTTAAAATAAAAATGTATTTTTTAAACATGTTTCATTTTATATACGATTATGTATGTTAATTTGATAAAGGTTTATAATGAAACATTTAAAAGTAAATGACGTAAAATAATTAATTAACTAATTATATGGATATAAAATGTAAATTTAAAATTATAATTTTAAAAAAAAATGGTAAATGTATGTGAGGGGGTGAGTGTATGTGAGGAAAGGAATGGGTGAAAAAGTGAAAAAGTAAAAAGGGTATCTTGGTCATTTAGAATTTTAAGACTTTTGATGAATTTGTTTAATAATATAGTATAGATTTTATTAAAATATTGCTATTTTACTTATTTTAAAAATTAATTTAGAGCATTAAAAATACAGAAATGGAAAATGTAAATTGTTATAATTGTTAATTTATTGAATAAAAGATTGTTTGTCAGTTGTTGAATGATTTGCTGCAAAATGATTAAGAGGTTCACATGATATAATATGAAATGAAATATAACTGTTTAGTAATTATTTACAATGAAATTAGAACGTTGAATGGTTAAGGGTTGCACATGGTAAAAAAAATATTCAAATGGTTTTAGAATCATTAAGAGGCAAAAATTTTTATCATCAAACAAGATTCACCTTTTAATGATTTTGTCTTTTAATGAAACTATTGAGAGGTAAACAAAAACTCTTAAGTTTTTATTATTTGATTTTATAAGATTATGAAAAAAACGCATGTCTTATTCTCTATTAATCAATACTTTAGTAATTTTATAAATTAGGTAAGACTTTTATATCATTTTTTTTAAATGACGTTTTTATTTGTGGAAGTTAGAGGATCGATTATGATCGTTACCTGATAAGTCAATTCATGCGGGTTTTTTTTTTCAAATATATAGAAAGTTCAGTTCGATGGAAATACTTGATTTCTTGTATAATAGAATGTATTGATTTATTGCCATTTACTCAAACAGTTATCTGATAAGTGTTTATCAGGTAAGATTCTAGATCATTATTATGTGCATCTGGTAAAGTAATTGACCCGCTTACTGGATAAGGTAAACAACCCCTTATAAGAAATATTGATTGGTAAATCTTTATGAATAACGAGTTTATGTTTTTTAAGGAAAGTTATAATATGTATTAAGATGATAACAGATAAACTAACATTTATTTATCTGAATTAATAAAAGTATCTGATCTGTCTTGAACTAAAAACGACATAGATCTAATTAAATTTGAAAATTTGTACGTGTTCGTACAAGAACACGTAGCACGGAGTCACAAGATATGCATCATTTTTAGGAATACATGCATTAAATACAACGATGAATCCAGAAATTTCGATCAAAAAACTTAAATTTTTTAGCATGGAAAAATATGTCTTTTAATATATTTTTAATGTCTTTTTTTTTTAAATAACTAATACAAAAATAATATCGTAATTAATGATTTTTTAATAATTATCTTGAAGTTTATCAACCACAAGGGTGGTGTCTTATTGGGTTGAGTTTGGTTACAAAGGTCAAAAGTACCAGGAGGTCTTAAGGTCAAAAGTACCATGAGGTCTCAGGTTCAAATTCGCCCTGAAATTAGTCGGCTGGTATAGCATGTTGGATATCCAGGTTAATAAAAAAAATTATTTTATCAAAATATTTATTTATATAATTTATATCTTAGAACTGCATAAATATTATATTTTTTAAGAGTAAAATAGCATTTTTTTTAAATCATGTAATTTTAAAATTACAAAATGGTCATCATGCTTTGTAAAAATTAGGGGTACAAAAGGTACGAGACAACTAGCGAGTTATTCGAAATCAACTCGGTTAAAACTCGGTCAACACTCTACTCTAAGCGGCTTGGCTCAAATTCGAACTCGACCTTGACATAACCCAATACCAAAACCGAATATATTTTATAACAAAATACATTATTGATATAGTGCAAAATGAAATATAATTGTTTGATAATTATTTACAACGAAATTAGGGCGCTGAATGATTAAAAGAAGTCCATGATACAAAATTATTCGGAAGGTTTTAAAATTAGTAAGAGACATATTTTTTTATCAAATAAAATTCACCTCTTAACGATTAATGAAACTATTAAGGGTGCGTTTGGTACAATTGGATAGAGACAAGACAGAACAGGACATAGATCCATGTCCCATGTTTGACATGAATTTTATGTAGAACAAAGTGGAACATGCCTGTTCCACCTCTACCCCCATGAAACAGGGTAGAACAAGATGAAACGTACTTATATTTTACCAATATAGTCCCAAAATAAAACTTAATTCTCTTCTAAAACATCAAATAGGTCTCTTTTTTATATATTATTCATTTTTTAAATTTTATTTATTGTATTTCATGTTTCTTAAGCTTTCTTTTTAATGTCCTCAAAATATTATTTTTATACGGTTTCTATATTTTTATTAATATGTGTAATTTATTATATATTAATAATAAAAACTAATGTAGAAAAAAGATAAAAAAAACTACATAAACTTTTTATTTGGTGTCATTTTAATTGTTTTGATGAAAACTTCAAATGATATATTTTGTTATAAAAAATAATTATTTTATTATAATTTAATAAATTACATAAATTAATTAAAATAAACAACTCATCAAGGGTAAAATTGATCATTTTACTTGTTCTATTCTGTCCAGTTTTATCTTATTAAACATTGAATAGTTGTTTTATCATATCTTGTCCTGCTCTGCCTTATTTTATTTTGTCATGTCTTGTCTAGATACCAAAAACATCCTAAAAAATAAATAAACAATGATTAAATGAAAAATTGATGGGGATGTTGTAATAAAGGGGTTTACAAAAACAGTTCAAAAGGTTTGGTAAGGGAGTGAGCTGTTTCATTAAAGGGTTTAGGTTGTCTGGTATATCTCGCAAGCTGTCACACACTCAGACACAGATCATCAAAATCTGAGGAGCTGATGTCCATCTGACTAGGCGTACATATCCCCTTTTATATGGGGTTTTCTAACCCCACCCTCTCCTACACTCTTCCCCCTACATTTTCTATACCCCCTCCTATATATTATTTTCAGTTTTAACCTTTAGATATTTTCAGTTTTGACCCTTCAACTTTTATAATATTTTGTTATTATATTTTTTATGTTTTTAATTTTTAATATAGATTATAATTATATAAATTAATTAAATTTAGATTATTATCTATATTATATTATAAAACATTTGATAAAAACTCTTAAAAACCATTTTTTATACATAAAATACTGTTTATTAATGTATATCACTTAAAACTCAAGATTGCAAATAGATTATGCGTAAATACAACTTATTAAAGCTCTATATCTGAATTCGTATAACTAACTGCAAATAAACATAATCAAATACATGATAAACATCTAATTTTAAATATAAAAAATCTAAAAT